CCGGTCCGAGGCGCGGGAGGAAAAGGGCCCGAACTTTCCGTTTGGTAAAAGCTCAGACTCCTTTAAGACTCGTATCCGCTTTGTTGCTTTATTTCTTTCATTTTGTATTTTGAGGCTGGAACTCCCTCCCTCTGAAGCCCTGTTGGCCTGGGAGTCAGCATGCAGCCCCCAAAACTCCTGGCAATCTTCCCAGTCTCCCCAGGAGCAAGATGAGCTGGGGGCAATGATGCTGACGGTTTTATTTTCATATGCTTAAATAACATTTTCATTAATTTTATTCCGTGTGAGTGTGTTGCTACGGCGCAGGGTTGGAGGTCAGAGGACAACCCGCCGCCGCAGTGGGGATTGCCAGGCTTGGGGCCGGCTGCCACCCCCCCAGTCACCTTCCTGCCCTTATTTGTTTCTTGAGACAGGATTTGACCGTGAACGCGTGTAGCACCACATACGGTAATAGGTTAATTTTCTTTATTAGAGACAGGGTCTCTCTGTGAAGCACTGGCTGTGCTGGAACAGGCCGGCCCCAAACTCCCCCAGATCCGCTTGCCTCTGTCCCCTGAGTGATCAGATGTGGCCACCATGCCTGGCATTAGTTTATATTTTTTATTTACTTTCGTTTTTATGTGTTGTTTTGTTTGGAGTGTTGTTTGTTAAGTCGGGGTCTCAGTGTGTAGCACCAGCTATTCTGGAATTCGCTTTGTAGACCAGGCTGGCCCCAAACTTACAGAAATCCGCCTGCCTCTGCCTCCTGGTTGCTGGGACCAAAGCCCAAGACCGCCAAGGCCCAGTTCACGCGAACCTAAGCTTCGCGAGTGAAGTGCCGGCAGAGGCCAGAAGGGGGCTGTGGGTCCGAAGGCAGGTCTCGGCCACTGACTATCTGCTCATGTATTTCTGTTCTGTTGTTTGTTTTTTAAATACAGTCTCAGGCTGGCTTTGACCTAGTCTTCTGCTTCCACTCTGGAGTTTTGTGGGGACAAGTGTGCACCACCATGCCTGCTTTTGTTGTTTTATTATGGGAGGATACACATGCAGCTCTGTTGCCCGCGCTCCTTCAGCGGGCCTCGTAGATGGAACTCGTGTCTTTAGGCTGGGCAGCAAGCGCTTTTCCCAGACACCTTCCTGGCTCCGCCGCAGAGGTGGTAGGGCTGAGGCCCAGGGCCTGTTTCCTGCCTGTTCCCATAGGGCTCCAGCGCCAGCCCTTCCTTGCTGGCACCCGGTGGAGTAGAGCGCTGGCTGGGAAGCACATTTTCCCCTAGGCCCATGCAGGGAACCCTCCACACCATGGGAACCTGAGAGGCCCACAAAGTACAGGCTGGATGTGGAGGTGAGCAGGGTGGAGAGACCAGGAAGGGTTGAGGACACAGCATAGGCCACAGACTTGCACACAGGGAACCCATCACGCCAGGTGCAGAGGCTTCTAGTCACAGCCCAGATGGTCCTGTAACCTGAAGACCCACAGGGAATGACAGCTGTCCCCATCCCCCAAACTCCCTCTGCTTCCTGCTCAGGCCTATTTCTGTATCGTCCGTTGATTGCTCATGCCTGCCGGGCGTATTGGCCTGGCTGGCTAGGATGGGGAATGGAGGCCTGTTGGTCAATTGGAGATGTCTGCCCTAAGTGCAAAGAGGTGTGCGATCACACAGAACCAGAAGACACCTGGTTCCCAGCCAGCCTGCCACTTGGGGGCTTGTGGCTTTTCTTCCCTCTTTCAGTCAGCCCCCTTCTGATCTGGAGTTCTGCCTCTCTAGATTGTACTCATGGCGCCTCCAAGTGAGGAGACACCGCTGATCCCCCAGCGCTCTTGCAGCCTATCGTCCTCAGAGGCAGGGTCCCTGCATGTCCTCCTTCCTCCCCGGGGATCTGGGCCTCCCCAGAGACTGTCATTCTCTTTTGGAGACTACTTGGCAGAGGATCTGTGTGTGCAGGCAGCTAAGGCCTGTGGTGAGTAGGTCCCTAGATGACCCGGCCGCTTGGCAGGACTGAGCACTGAGCAAGACATCTACTGAGAACAGTGCTCAGCAATGGTGCTGGGGCTTGGGGGATGAGTAGAAGTTTGGTCAGGTGGGTTCAGCCTGTGCTGCACTGTGTGGGGACTGAGCTGATGAGTCCGTCTCCTCAGGCATCCTGCCTGTTTATCACTCGCTCTTCGCTCTGGCCACCGAGGACTTGTCTTGCTGGTTCCCCCCGAGCCACATCTTCTCCGTGGAGGACGTGGATACTCAAGTCTTGGTCTACAGGCTCCGGTAGGAACCGAGCCCCTCCATTCACCTTGAGAGGCTGCGACCTGAGAGGGTGGGCTGTTAGTGTAGGACACACAGCACATCAGTAACAACTTGGGCTCTGTGAAGCTGAGTGTGTCACGGTGCCATTCTGAACCCTGCAGCTTTTATTTCCCTGACTGGTTTGGGCTGGAGACATGTCACCGCTTTGGGCTGCGCAAAGATTTGACCAGTGCCATTCTCGACTTACATGTTTTAGAACACCTCTTTGCCCAGGTATGTGGTCTTCCGTGGGGAATACTCAACCCAGGGATGGGTACCCCAAGGCAGCAACCTCCCAGCTGCGGGCTGAGCAGGACCTCACTCGGCCACCCTCCTGCTTGACCCCAGCACCGCAGTGACCTGGTGAGTGGGCGCCTCCCAGTGGGCCTCAGCCTGAAGGAGCAGGGAGAGTGCCTGAGCCTGGCAGTGTTGGACCTGGCCCAGATGGCTCGTGAGCGGGCCCAGCGGCCAGGCGAACTGCTGAAGGCTGTCAGGTGAGGGCCTCTGGCCTGCCAGTGGCGTGACTCCCTGGCCACCTTTCCCTGGTCTCCACTGGCTGCGAAACTGGGGTCCTGCCATTTTTCCCTTACCGAACTCCTACACCTCATTTCCAACGCCGACTCCTGCAGCCAGCCACCCTCTCCCTCAGCCCGCCTCTGCCCAATGGTCCCCGGTGTCCGTCACGTGTCCTTCGTGCCCCCTCCCCACCCTGAGACCTGGCGTGCCCCCCCACCCACAGCTACAAGGCCTGCCTGCCTCCTGCCCTACGCGACCTGATCCAGGGTCTGAGCTTCGTGACGCGCAGGCGCATCCGCAGGACCGTGCTCCAGGCTCTGCGTCGCGTGGTCGCCTGCCAGGCCGACCGCTGCTCGCTCATGGCCAAGTACATCCTGGCCCTGGAGG